CGGCCCGCCCGACGACGTGTCCTGCTCGCCTACATTGGGGTCCTCTTTGAGCTGCGCAGACGTCGGCTCGCTGTACCAGAACATGCCGGCGCCGGCGGGCCGCTCCCAGTCCGGGTCGCCGCCGGGCTCCCCGCGCCCAGCGCCCGAGGCCCGGCGTCACAGCGCCCCGGAGGACGCCGTCCTGCAGGCCCTTGCGGAGGCGCCGCAGGCGGCCCCGGACACCATCCCGGAGTACTGCCCGGAGGACACGAGCGCCGTCTACCAGGACATCGACGAGACGGACGGCCCGACCCCGCCGGCGGCGTCCGCGGCACCACCACGACGACGACGGGACTCCGACCCGGCGTTGGCGAGCCTCGGCGACGAGGACGACGACATCCTGGGCATCATCCACGACCTGAAGAGCAGCTCGTTCAGCCTGGGCGCCCTCGGGGAGGTGGAGCACCTCGTCGAGTCGTGGAGAGGCAGAAACGCGACTCACCAGAGCCTCCGGGACAAGCAGGTGAGCGGCATTGGCCGAGGCGGGGCGTGGCGGGGCGGGGTGGGGCGCACCGGAGCGAGCGCCCGCAGAGTGAGGGATAGGCCACCCGCTTAACACGCGCACGTTGGTGTTGCAGGAGCAGCTGGCCCGTATGCGAGAGGAGTTGCAGCGCGTCGAGCACCGGCTGGGCGGCGAGGCCAGGCCGTCGCCCTTCGAGAGGATCAAGAGGGTATTCAGCAGGGCGCGCCACGGCCGCAGCTCCAAGGCCCGGGCGGGCCCCGCGGCTCAGCCGGCGCCGCCCGCCCGCCCCGCCAGCAGCCTGAGCAGGAGGAGCTCGAGCTCCAGCACCTGGTCCGACAGGAGCACCGAGCCCGCCGAGCACCCCGACGTACCCGAGTCCCCGATGCAGGTGAGCCTCTTGTGCCGGGCGAATCATGTTTCGCGTATTTTAATTTCACTTTAAAAATACATCTCGTTTTACTAAATGGTTGTAAATGTCGTACTTCATGTCGTGACTGTCCCTAGGTCGAGGAGGTCTCCTGGCTGCACCCGGTGAGCCCCGCCAGCGACGAGCACTACGTCGTGCCGCACGGGGTGCGCCCCGTCCCCGTCGTCGCGGCCCAGTCGCCCTACGGCGCGCCCCCCGCCGGGCCTCGGGGCGGCACGCCCGCCACGCTCGGCACGCTCGACCTGGCCGACGACGGCTTCCCCTTGGACTCGACCGGCTTCTGCAGCTACGTCAACGTGAACCTGCCCAGCTGCCCCCCGCCCGTGCCTGCGCGGCCCCAGGTGGACCTGCCCCTCTCCAGTTCCAGTCCGGAATGAAGAATTGTGTTTCTTTCTTGTGGTGCTGTTTGAATTATAGTATTCTTCTGCAATTTTAACTAGTCTTTTTTATTCACTACCCCTCCCTCTTTCCTCAACCAAATTAGTCAGCAGAAAACGAGGAAAGGCTTACCTACTTGGTCAGAATTCATTGGTTTTTCAGGGATTCGCTCGTGACACGTCCGGGAAGATGACTGAGAAGTAAGCTTCTCTGAAGAGTGAGAACGAAAGTAATGAGAGTTGAGGAATATTTTCTCTTTTCTTATCATTTGAGTTGTAAGCTGATGTAAATGTTTGTTTATGATCAAGGCGCGTTCGTTGTCGTTATTGGTGACGTGTAGAAGATATTAGGTCAGAAGCAGGATAGAAATTACACGAAAAAGATGTGCACCAATTATTATCATTTTATTGATTCTTCACGATAAACGGAGCAATTTTTATAGTTTTCAAAATTTAACCCCAACATACTGGATATTCACACTCTTTAACCATAATAAATATTCTGTACTTCTTCAACTTCAAATCAAAGTTCTCAAAGTTGTGAAGGAAATGCACATCTTTGCTACATTAACCGTTTGTCTGCAACGAAAACAGAAGAAGAAAGGAAGAAGTTGCTTCAAGAACATGGCAGCCGGCCCATGTATTCTTTCTTTCTTCTTCTGTTTTCGTTGCAGACAAACGGTTAATTGAACCAAATTAAACAGTGACAACTGCAATTAGCATTTTTTTAAAAGTAAAGATTGATTCTGATTATAATAGAAATTCACAACTTTAAAAAAAAATACACATCTTCAACAATCTTTACACAGCACTGCTTCAATTTTCAATGTAATTTTCTCTTTTCCTCTACATAAAATGTGTTAATATACTCTAAAAATTTCTAACAAAGTCACTTTGTGATTGACTTCTTGAAGCAAATGGGTCAGAAGCGCTGGTTCCAGCCAACATACTGAAATATTTAAGAGAATCACAGGTCTTGCCCGGTAAGTTTAGTACTATTTGAAAGTGGAAAACTGTTCTAGGGTTCTAAAAAGAATACTTTAATATATTCTAAAAAAATCATAATTAAGCTGCAAAAACAAAAGCACGAGTTTTGAGACCAGAGAACTCCGGCGCAAAACTTTATAAACACTACAAGTGTAAATAAATAAATTGTTCAATGACCTCTTGGAAAGGTTTTCGTCTGACAGTCGTGACTGGAACTCAACATGAGCAACAGGGAATACAGCAAAGTAGGTTCGGCCAGGTTATTGGACCATGGAAGCGGCAGGACTCGCGTCGTCTTAAACACGGCTGGACGCTATTTGGCAGATGACATCGCTGTAGTTGCAGGCTATGGGCTCCAGGTTGACGCAGACGGAGCCGAGGGCAATGTTGTTCTGTGGGTCCGGCTCCAGAGGGGGGCTCCAGGGAAGTAGGTTCTGCTGGGCGTTGGGTGGAGGTGGAAGAGTGGGAGCAGCAACTGCAGCAACATTGATATGCACTGTCACAGAAAGGAAAAAAAAACACACATTAACTTACAATTTATGTTTAAAGGGAGCACAGGGAATTCGAAACCTAATGTTAATAAAAACGGTAAACTACCGCCAAATTTCCTAATTCCGGACCAGCTGAGTAAATCCGGACATATCGACGCACATGACATGGGATGGACCGCGGTACCTCTAGGTAAAAGCCCTAGATACAGTATCGCAAACCTAATTTACCCCCAAGAAATTTTCCAGCAAAGGACTTATGGTGCATTTTACCTCTATTGAATTTACATCTCTTCTTTGAACTAGAATCAAGTCTGTGCAACCGGAAGTTGAAATGCCCTTTAAGAGGCGGAATCATTTTACATATGAAATTCCGAAAAATCAAAAAAATTGGACCCTACCCACCTCGCTTTTACAAGGAGACTCGCCTTCTTAACTTCAGGATCACTTCCGGAATAGTTACAGGGTGGTTGATCCGCGCCGTCTTTTTAAAATGCTTTTGCTGTACCGGATTCACTCGTGCGGGCGGGCTTGCCCACCCTCGCTCGCCAGGGCGCCTTACGGCGCCGTGCGAGTATGCAACCCGTTCGCACGTAAGAGTCCGGTACAGTATAAGCATTTTAAAAAGACGGAGCGGATCACCCACCCTGTATGTTACCTACAGCCTACACCGGCACAAAAATTTGTAACAAAATTGTGTAACGTTAATGTGAATGTTTGTGACGAAGAAAAATAACGAAAACTGGCGCGCTGTGAAACTTTGTTACGTTACTTTTGCAACGTTACTCTTGTCACATTACCGACACATAACGGAACGGAAACGGAAATCGAAGTTCAGGTACAGTACTTGTAGTGGTGTGGTTCTGGCAGAACTTATTCGGATAGGATGGTTTTAAAGGCGCGTGGTCAACTGCGGGCATGGCCTGGGCGCCTCGCTCGTACTTGGTCAACTGCTGGCAAAGCCTCTTTTGACATCTGGTTCCGGGAAGCCCGGGGCGCCCGGAGTGCCGACTGCGGGCACGGGAGTGCTGGGTTGCCTACCCCGCCGGCGCTCTCTGCCGCTTCCCGCTTCCCGCACCCCGCACCCAGCCTGCCGGAGTTCCGACGGCACACTGAGTGCACACGCGTCATTAGCGTCCTTCATTCTTCTGACTCTCGCTGTCTGACCGAAGGAAACAACCGTGACGACTCGTGCAGAGGTCCGGCGTATGCAGGAATTCAGCCAAACCGTTGGAGATATCGATCTCAGATTTTGATACAATGTAGATAAAGGATGTGGCTACAGCGTGACAGAGCCCTTTTCCACAAAAAGCGCCCACGAAAAAATCTGTTGTGGCCGAGTCAGAGGGTTCATTGTAGGCAATACAGGCAATGTCGGAGGCAAACGAATGCGTTCGACATCGAGATTAGTCCTTCAAGGACCCACCTGCCAAATTTGGATTTTTTCGGTGCACGGGTTTTTGAGAAACAACGTGAGAAGTCTTCCCGTGCAAGGCGTTGCGCGTGCCGCGCGGAGCCCGCCAGCGCGCTGGACGGCCGGGACTTTAGCCTCCTCTTAACACATCGCTTGTGGAATGACCACTATGTGGTAGACACCAAAAATGAGCAGCACGGAATGTGTTAATTCCTGAAGTCAGGTCGTGGTCCTTTAAAATAGCGTTGCGCGGAGCGATAGCGAAGCGCAACGCTGCATTAATAATACCATTACTGATTTTATGTATTGAGTTAGGTTTGTTAGTTGTGGTTTGCTTCTTATTATTTCAAATAGACACTTCGATGCGCAGATAATAGTCTAATAATATCATTACTAATTAACTGTATTTAGTTAGGTTTGTTAGTTTTGGTTTGCTTCTTTTT